CTAATTTGTATGTCCGCAGAATGCTTGTGTTGTGCCTTTTTTTCAGTCAGAGCAAATATATGCTCAGATTTTGATGCGGAAAACCAATTGGGAAAAAAAGATGTCCCTCCAGCGGGTTGAGCCCTAAATGAATTATTCAGATCTGCATGTTGTGTGTTTTGCCGGCCAATTCTGCTTAATGTCATCTTTTATGGCATGCATCAGAGACGACTCCAGATGCAAGACAGCCTCGGCATTCCAGCTTTCTGCATTGGCTCACTGTGTGCCTGAGAAACAAAGCTTAAAATGCTGGAATTCATTTCACTTTTAGTGTCCCCTTAATAAACGATTCGCAAATCAATGGCTGCTTTTGTCATGTAATTTGTTTCCGTGCTCAGTTTTGTGATAATGTTTTGCAAGCAAGGCTCTTTGGGTCAATATGAGATTGAGGGGAAAAACACAAGCCTGGCTTTTATTTTTCTCTGCAAATATTTGGAAAATGATGCAGTTGGTGCATTATCTCATCCAGAACAATTTAGCTTCCTAATGGAATGCTAGTTTTGGTTCAGATAGGATTTGAACATGCAAATGAAAGACGATTTCATATTAAAATCTATTATAATTCTGTTTACATGCTTGATCACACTGATTATTCTTAATGATGTGTAAGTTAATGTAAATGCCTTAAGCTAAGCTTTTATCATGTAAAGGTCATAACCATTTAGGCAGAACGGCAAAACACACACATCTTGACTTTTCAATGTCAAAACCAGAGAAAACCCACTAAATTCAAAATGTTTTTCTTGTATTGTGTTGAATTTTTATAATGAGCTGGTTTTTGAGTCATCAGTGCTTTGTTTTACATGAAACAGCCCTCATCGGCGGTGTGCAACACCTCTGTAAGTGTGTGTTTTCTATCTTTGTGTGTTTGTCTGTGTTGTGCCTGGTCTTTCCTCAGCTGCACCTGCACTAATTGTAAGTGTGCAGCTGTGATGTGAGAGCCGTACTCCAGCTGGGAGAGCTTGTTGAGCTGCCACACAAACCCGGCGAGCTAAACACCCCAGTAAGTCCCTCCTTGACTCAGCTAATGAGTGTGGAGCACAGACAATGCACCCCAATCCAGCAGCCCATCTGAGCGCCACTGCAGTCCAAGAACCGGAGGAGGTCGGCTATAGACGGCTCACAGTTTGTGCTCCGTGACCGTGAAAGTGTGGATAATCAAGCCTTTGCTGTCTCGGCCTCCTGTATCCCGACTGTGTCTTTCCTTTATTGTTAGTATCAGCCCATCTCGTGGGTTTCTCTTCACTCCAGATCAGTCATCCAGCCTGAAGGTCATATTTTCTTCATAAGTAAATGATACTCGCTTTGTCACAGTTTCATGTTCATGCAGGGGTTTTTGTATTCATTATTATTAGTTGTTATTATAAAATTGGACTAATTGTTATTTAAATGTTTCAGAAAGACGTGCATTTATTATTTTTATTAAAAATAATTATAAATGTTTTTAATTTTTAAAAATTTTTATTATAGATTTTTTTCCATACATTTATTAATATTTTTTTTGTTGTTGATTTTTTTTTTTTCGTTTTATTATGATGCTGGATGTTTCATCAGATGTGGGTTTCGATAACCTAATTGTACCAATTAAAACGGTAGTAGCCCATTGAAATCTGGAGCAGTGACAGTCCTTAAGGAATAACCTATAACATCCTTGTGTCTAAACCTTATTTCGGTAAGTCCTTGGGCGAATAAGTCCTTATTCGTGTCCGGAATAACACTGGCGGATGTTCTCTGAGAAGGACGTTAATGTGCACTTCACATTTGGTCTGTCCTCAAATGCTTAAAGGGATTTTCGAACAACCTAGTATGAGAGCCTGTTCTAGTACACCCCCAAAACAAAATCAAGTAAAAGAGCATAATAGGACACCTTTAATGCAAGTACTGTAGAGCATTTTGTTCATTAAAAGGATATGTCCAATTTAATTTGACTCAAAAATAAGAAAATAAATGAGAGGGTCACATGGCCAACCATATCTGAGTGTAATTTAATAGCATACTGTGTGGAAGTTATTATTTTTATTATCATCATTCTGGTACCTGTAGTCACTGTGACCTGACACAATTACAATATTCTGGTGTATCAAAAGTGGTATGTGGGTATTAGAAATACAGTCAGGATAACCGAGTCCATTCATAGTCGAAGCATGATCCCATTAGGATATCAGTAGTTTTGCTTTTTCAAAAGCTGACTTGAAATATTCATATGAAATTACAGCTGTATGGGTCCGTTGGGGTTGATAGCAGGAATTCAAGCAATAAACACACCTAATAGACCCTGCAATCCAGTCGCATGCGGAGGCCAGAGAATCAGACAGATTGTCACTTTTTTTCCCTTTAGATTATAAGTCCATTTATTCAGGCTCAATGACAGTTGCATGACAGGATATGGATGGTGGAGCTGTAGAAGCTGATTAGAAAGATAAACAAAGACAGAAAGTTTTATATGAACAGATTATTGCTGCCTTCAAGTCATGTCAGAATTATCGTATTTACGAGAAGAGCGCTCATGTGCCGTCAGTGCCAGTGGGGAATCCTGGATTTTCTTTGAACCCTGACTTTTTGAGTCTAGGATGTGTCCATTAAATAATTTCAGTGGATGATTTTGCTTATTGGTTATAATTGAGCTGGAATGAAGAATGTTGGCTGTACAATTTAGTACCGTACGTTTCTTCATCTTGCTACATTAGTGTGCTACATTGCTAAATAAAAGCTTCCAGGGTTTGTCTGCAAATTACATGTCTGGTTTTTCCAGAACATTTAATGGTGTAAATTAAAAGTTGTAAAATGACTTTCAAACTCATAAGATGTTGTATGTTGTTAAATCTCATTGTGTGATTTATTCTGTAGTTGGTAATCTGTGTTGTGGTCTAGACAGGATACAAATGTTTGTTGTTCTTACTCAAACCACGCCCCCTTCGCATACATTAAGTAAGGTATAAATTACAGTCAGTCGTTATTGCAACATACTGTAAACCCTGACAGGGTGATGATCGGGACCCTGAAGGCAAGTCCGCTTTTTCCACAGCTCCTTAAGCAATAAATGTGTTTTTATTTTAGTCTTACTTTTTATTTGGTGTGCTGGTTGTGACATCATGGAATGGCAAAGAATACTCATAAATATTAAGTCATGAACAGAGAATTTATCACTATCTTTTATTGTTTTTTTTTATGTGCTTGAAATGAATATTGTTTCTCTGATGCTGTCAGTGACAGGTTTAATTGACCTTTCAGCATTATTACAGGCTATTAAAGAGAATTGTCATAAAAAGTTAATTATTTTGTTGTTACATTAAAACATCAGCATTAAATAGACCAACAGTTTAAAAAAAAAAACTTTTAAAATTTAAAATGCATTTAGTTGGATATCTTGGGATGGTCAGTTTGTTTGAATCAGTGGATCAGTTGGACCTAGGCAAGTTGTCGCATTAGCACTTTATGTTATTAACCCTAGAACCGCCACGGGGTAAATTTTGCCCGTGGCTGTTTTTCAAATGTACATAAAAGATTTAAAATAAAACATTTAAGTCTCCCAGTCATTGACTTTTACTAAAATTATGTAATTTACAATCCAATGTTGTTAAAAATTATTTCGATAAAACCAGATCAAAAAACGGGGCATTTATACCTATAAGCGCCAGCGGGTCAAATTTACCCACCTATATAATGCATGTATTTTTGCGCTGTCATTTTCTTGCCGCTTATGTTTTAACATTGTACATTTCTAGGCAACGCCTTTCACTCACTGATTTAGCGGTTATCAGTTTCATAAATAAAGTCAAAGGCTGCGTTTACACTGCAAGTCTTAATGCACAGATCCGATCTTTTGACCATATCCGATTTTTTGGCACGTCTGTTTACTAGGGCTGTGTATCACCAGCAAAGTCACGATACGATACGTATCACGATACAGAGGCCACGGTACGATACGTATCAGACGGCTCATCTGACAGTGATCCAGATATCATATTTACATGTTTTAGCCTCACGTTACTCTAATTGGTCAAACTTTGGTTTAATTATTTAATTTTTGTCTTGCCATATAGTTTATTGTTCGCTACTGTGTTGCTATTCTAGTCTGGCCGTTTCCTGAAGAAGAAAAAAAATCTGATCTACAATATATGATGTAATGAATAAAACCAGTTTTTGAATACCCAAAGTTTAATGGTGTTGTTCTCTTATTCAAATTATAAATGATATAACTAAACAAATTAATAAATATTTAGGTGAAGCTGTGCGCTTGAAATTTTCATGGCATCATCCTATGCAGTGTGGTGAATTATTATTGCTCATTATTGTCTATAGGCTATTTTAGTAATTTAAATACCATGGGTTATCTTAATATATTGATTAATGACATTGTATTATAATATTAGCCTACACCACCCAAATATTTAGGCTACTACCTTCTAATTTCCGTTTTCAGTGCAGGCTTTTTAAAAAAAAATTTTTTTAGCTTAGGCTACTGACCGTTATGGATTAGGGTAGCCTGCATTAAAAAAATCTTGAACATAAAACAACAGGATAAAAATATAGTTGATGACTAGACATAATCATTTCATGACTCTAGACACTTCTTTGTGAAGACAGTGGCATAATACAGTGAAATAATATGTTCTTTAGCCATATAAATACAGTTGTCATGTGCGTGGGTAAAATTTACCCGCTTTTAGGTATACAGCGACCTCTGGCGGTTGTAGTGTTAAAGACAGCTTTTTTTCTTGTAATTGGGCTGAATTTGGCTGTTTTTTTTATGAAAAAAATATTACAGTTGCCGTTATATATCATCACTATAATGGTTAGATTGTCTCCTGTACTAGCTGATAAATGCCACTGATCACAATGGTACATCAAGCAGGGAAGGTATAATGGGGGATTATGAATACTGAGAACAACATATGTAACCGTGCACACCATTTACTTTGGCAAAGGATTAATATAATGTGTTCTTTTTTAACTTCCAGATCACTTCTATGATTGATGAGGATATGTGAGTGAATTTGCCAAATACTGAACAAAGAAATCTACTGCATCCTCCGGTAAGTGCTTTGACTGATGATCCTTCACTGCTCATTTCTGCTAATGATTGTTCACCTAATCGCAGATTTGCACACACACGTGCCGCTTGCATGCTGTTATCTTCAAAACAACTTTCCCGAATTAACTCGAATGGCGTAATTGGTGCTAAAAACTGGAAAGCATGCACGTTATCGTGTCAGACGCTCATATTTCTCGAGCACAGTCAAACGACGAATTTATTTAGTGTTTTTGAGCAGCAACAGAACGCTCTATATAACATGAGTCATAATTAGCAGCGGGGCCTCTCAAATCACTCGCTGCTTTGTTGTTCCCCCTTACAACGTCAGTGTCAGTTTTTTTACGTGATTATTAAAGGCAGGCACAATTACTGAGATGTGAGATTCTTTGGAAAAAAAATCAGTTTGAGCAGGCAGTCGGAGACATTCGTCTAAACAGCACATGTGGCATGAAGTGTTTCATCCTGAGCCTTTAATACGTTCACCGCTTTTTGCCTGGTCTTGTGTACTGATGAGACATGGAACAGCTCGAAGGTGAAAATGTGTTTTTTATAGTAGCATCTACATTATGCTAATGAGTTTGCAAGGAGGTGGAGCCATAAAGGCCAGATTGCCAGGAGAAGAGAAGCCTGTAAATTATGGTTGCAAACTGCCATATCTGCCAGGACAAAGAAAAGAGAGGGGCTAGGAGAAACCACAAGTCATGCATATCAGATTATCCTTCTTTTACCCCTCCCGCTCCCTCACTTTTACTAATTTTTCTTATCATGCTTCTTGAGCAAACTTGCACACACAATCTGGGCTGTGTATCTCCAGTCACATGAGGGCCAGAGGTGCTGACGAACTGGAATGCTTGGCCTGGTATTTCCTGATGCTCACACACACATGTACACAAACACACACTCGCGTAAACACACGGGGCAGGCTATATATTTGTGGATGGGTTCATGTTTGACTTGGTGGCAGAGCGAGTGGCAGAATGATGAAACACAGATGTTTTTTTTTCTTTTAAGCTTTGTAGAGATTTTACAAAGCTACCATATGTTTTTCAGTTGATTTTAAAGACTTCTTTTTATTTATTGCAGACAAAATGTATTGCTGTTCAAAAGTTTTGGATCCGTATGATTTTTTGTTTGTTTGTTTGTTTTTGAAAGAAGTCTCTTATGCTCACCAAGGCTGCATTTATTTGATCAAAAATACAGTAAAACTGTAATATTGTCAAATATTATTGCAATTTAAAATAACAATTTCTATTTTAATCATTTGTAAAGTGTAATTTAATCCTGATCCTTATAAAAATCTTATTAATTCTTATTTCTTCTTCTTTAATGTCAATTTTGGTACATTTTTCAGCAACCTTGCTGAAAAAAAGTATGAATTGCTTTCAAAAGAAAACCAAATCTTACTGATTCTGAAACTTTTAAACGGTGGTGTGTGTATGTGTGTGTCTGTGTATATATATATGCATTTACTTAAGTAGATAATTAACATCCTCTCTGATAAAGGCACTTTATAAGTCTTATTTACGAAAAGATTGTATGAAAACTTACCATCTGCTCTGGCATGTGACTGGCAATTATTTTGTTGAACTGAAAGATTATGAATCATTTAGTTTTGTAACTGGACACAATCTTCACCAAAGGGAATAAAATCAGTCTATATAAAATAATTGAATAATTCCAAGGCTAATTAAATGCTGCATGCATTATAAAAGCCTTTCACAAGGTAAAATCTTTAAGATAAATGAATAAACTCATTAAAATGTTCTTAAAAAGGTCTATTTTCAACCTTCATTCTAGTTATTCAGTGATTCATTCTGTTCTGTTTTGTTCCTACCTTCACAAAACGGGGGAATTTCCGATAGTGGTGGGTTTCAGCAAGATCAGGTCAGAAGTGGGTGGGTCTCTGTGAAAGTATATGTGTTTGTGGGGGAATAATGGAGCCATTCTTCAGCTCTATGGAAGCCGCTATACAGTGGCATGTGGTGGACCTGCCAGAGGCACTGGGGTCTCCTTAAAATAGCTCCAACCCTCGAATGTCAGAAGCAAAGCTGAGACTGCGCACCGACCACTGGCCATTTGACCGAGTGCATCAAAGAAATCTCTATGAAGTCCTTGAGATTTTTGCCGCAGCCAGGAAAACATCCAGTCATAATAAGTTAATCATGTTTTGATTTTGATCTAATATTGAAATGTGGCAGTCTTTTGACATTTGTGCAGAAATACATTTCCGTATCATACCACAAACCCACAAATCTGTGTGCATGCATGGCAGGCAGATCCAGAGAGCTAGTAGGTTGCCCATCAGGATGTTTGTTTAACAATGATTCAAAAGGTCATTTAGTTGGACTATGCGGTTAGGATTATTTTTGCTGTAATCAGAATGATTTCATACCAAGTCACATGTTTGACATGGGTTCATGATTTCAGTGATTAATTTGACTGCTTCTTGCACTACAAACAGTAGCATAAAGCTCAGAGAAAACACAAGCAGGGACCAATCCGGTCTGCCCATGAGTGGCAAAAGTAAACAAAACTAACATTTTAAATCTGATTATTTTTTTCTTTTCTTTAGAAACCACACGTCTCTAAAAACCCAGTCAGAAGAGTTTATGCTGTTCCTCTGGTATTTATTATTAGTAAACCATTATGCTGCTCGATTCTCAAAGCTGGTGGAATAAATTTCTTTAGGCAGTATTTCACCTCTGTCTTATTTACTAACCACCCGCAATCTAGTTTTACCAGACTTTATTTTTTATGTGTTTTTTTTAGTCCAGACATTAAAAGAATGAATTCAGTTGGGTTCAATTTTGTTTAGACCCCAAACATTCTTCAAGATATCTCGTTTTATGTTATGCATACGTCATACAGATTTGGAATGACATAAGATTAAATTATTTTAAGTGAATTATCCCTTTAAAATAAGAGAAATTTACTTGAGAATCAATATTGCGTAACACATTTTAACTGTAAAATTAGACAAATATTTATTAAGAATAGGATTTAGATTGTACATTGTTCACTTAAGCTAGTTAACGCTGCACCATTGCGCCATTACTGCTCACAGAAAGCTGGTGGTAACTTCAATTTTGTTTACATTTTCTATTGATTGCAATTCTTCATGTGATGATCAAATGATGGAGAAGTGCACTGGAACGTTCTAAAAATCCATTTGTGTAGACAAACTTACTTTTGTCATTTTAAAGAACTGATTTAGTTGTCTGCTGTGGTGGAGCGATAGTCCCAGTAAAGTATGTCAGATTGTGGTAGTCTGTCGTAGGCTTGCAAAGGGGTGGAAAATTTCCGTAAACTTTCCAAAAATCCCTGGAAGATTCCAAAAAATCCCGGAAAGTTTCCAAAATTTCTGGAATGTTTCCGAAATTTACTGGAAATTTTCCACCTTTTTGCAACCATAGTCTATTGTGACACCTAGAACCACGTGCAAGATGGGTAAATCCAGGCATGTAGATTGTGTTCAGTAGAGATTTTTTGGTGTGCTTCTACTATTACCTGCATTGCACAAGTAGTAGGTCTATAGCATAAAAAACAGTGCAAACAAACAAATGATACTATCAGTGTGTGCAGCTTCTATTTTGTCCTTAACCTTCTGGCAAAGTTGATTTTGTGACAGTGGTATGGCCATGTTAATGGTATAATAAAGGATACTGTAGCAATTTGAACAACAAATGAATTCCCGGTAGGGCCACCAGTGTTACGGGCACCTTGCGTGCTTCACCCTGTGCCCAGGTGAGTGTAATCAATGACCGAAATGGTTCATAAATAACATGCTTGATTTCTCAGGCTCAGTGCTTGGCCATAGCGAACTCCCGCCACGACACCTCATGTGTACTTTTAACCTTGCTTGTGCAGACAGATGAGCGCTGGAATCGACCCTCCAAAGGGGATTGAAGAGAGCTGAGACAAATAACATTAGAGGGCAAAAGCAGATCGGGGAGGTTGAGTTTTCTGGATACAGACACAAAGCCGACTGATCTCATTTGATATAATTCATGATTTGAGATGAATCATATGTAGAAAAACCTGTGTTGAGGAAGCTGCTATGAAACGGTTACTTCGTTTCAGAATTTAACTACATCTGAGTCACACTTTTTGAAGTAAATGGCTACATTTGAAGCTATTTAAGGGAGTAGTTTATTTTTAAATAGTATGAGGTCTCAGTTTGACAACTTGAATAGATACATTTACACTTAACCGAATAAAACTAGAAAAAAAATTGTTTTTAGGAACCAGTTTATTTACATATGAACCATTCGGATGAATGAATCACTGAAATGTTCTTGAATGAACACGTTTCATTTTTGCTTCAGTTCACTCGTTTTGTCACGCGACACCGCTAGTTGTTGGAAAAAGTAGCATGATACTGGAAAAACTACTGTTTTGAACACAACCAAGCTGCTGAAAAATTTAGTTAGTGGTGTCGCTACCTTCAGTTAGTTCCGTCCCAACACCGATCCTCAGAGTGACCTATAAATGTCACGAATTAAGACTTTGTTAACTGACCCTTGGACAGTAAGACATGTAATGGGTCTGTAGTTTACCTCGGGCTCTTTGTGATTTACAGCCCTGTTCCAGTCTGAACTGTAAATATTCATGTCCTTGGAGCAGGCCGAGACATGATCTCATTCGCTTCTGCCAGCGCATCTCGTGTAGGCACAGGCTCCGCAGATGTAAATCGCTGTTTACTTCATTACATCATTAGCTGTGTTTCCTTGGGCCCTGGAGAAATGAGGTGAAACACGCTGGTTACTGTGTGCCCTCTGTGCCCTATCGACCTGGAGAAACCCGCCAAGTGAAGCTTATTTCCTCCCTCTATTTGCAGAGGAGATTGTTTGGAGATCCTGTTGAATTTCTTGCACAAATAACTTGTGTGCACATCTAAATTATAGAACATTTGCCAATTTAGGAAGCCTTTTCTTGCGTTTATCATATCATTGCACCTTTATTTGCCTCTTCAGTGATTTCCGGGTGATTGGATTTCAACACGGATGGAAAGATGGCAGATATCATTGAAAGGTTTGTTCAAAACCGCTCCGCACAATAGCGCTCCAAGGTAAAGTGCTAAAAGAGAAGCTCTTGTTTATGAAAGGGGTGTGTAGAGCTTAGAGCAGGTGCAGAAGTAGATCATACTTACAGTATCATGTCTTTATTGTGGACTCCTTGCTACTAACGTGTTTGCTCTGACAAGGTGTGTTACATCTGATGCTTTTCTCTGTTTGTTTAAGGAATCAGATAAAAATTAAATAGACTGCTGTAAAAGGAATGTAGTTCAATGATTAACGTGTTTTTCTCTAAAACAACTTTCAATTAATTTGAGGATCCAAGACATGATAATGATGCAACAGCATTCTGTGCATCACAAAGAAGGTGTCATGCACCATGCAATGAATCCACTATGGTAATCCTGGCGTTTTATAGAAAAATAAGATGGTGGTGTCTTGGGTTGAAATGGAACTGAAATCTTTCTGTGAGTTGCTGTTTGAAATAAAAAAATATGGCAATAATGATAACCAATAATCAACAGCTTGTTGTGGCCAGATTTTATTTTATCCTTTTATTTGTTATTTTATTTTTTTATGTATATATATATTTTATTTAACTTTTTATTATTTTATTATTATATTTATATTATTTTATTATTTTTTTTAATTTTTATATAATAAAATAATAATATTTACAATTATTTATAATAATTTCCCAAAATAGATGTTATGTAAAAGCTTACAATCAGTGAAAGATTTTACAGTGCATATAGGCAGTTTGAGGCAATGTCTGCTTTTTATTTTGCTGACAAATTAGAAACGTTTCATTGCACAATTTTTAAAAATAAATTCATGATTTGATTGGATCATTACTGGAATTATTGGCTGCAATTCCACTATTGGTATCAATAATAGTTTCATTATATATTTTTCATATTGTGCACCTGAAAACCAGAGAACAAGAATCAGACAAAAGAAAGAATCCCAGAATCCCAACGGTGCTTACATGTGTGTATTTGAAGTACAAGCTCCGTTCAAAAGCCTCTCATTAGGAGCACAGGAAGCTTGTCAGTGTGCCGGTTAAGTGTTGGTGTGAGTAGGACCAGTGCGGCCTCTTGTACTCACTCGATTACGCACCTAATCAAATCACCTGCTTGTTTATACGCTCGGTACTCCGGCGTCAGAAAAACAGCTCTGCTTCATTCATACCGCCCGTTTTCCTTTGAGGACTTCCAAACAATAGCAGTGGTCTGTGCTTTCCTCCCAAAGGCAGGCTGCTGGATTTGAATTTCTCTTTCTTGTTGGACTCCAAATCCACATGCACTTGTAACATGTTCAAACTGTTTTCCGTGTGCTTTAGGAATCCTCTCACGTTCAGAAGCAGCGATTGATTTGTTTAGAGCCGGTGGCATCATAATCACCCCACAAGTGGAAGGAGCTGACTTACATTTTCCGCTCTGTTATACTTGCGTTATTGGAGTGTGGCTTTCCTGAATGCGCTGGCTGAGAGTTTGTGGATATTGCATTACAACAATATTGTCTCTGTATTCGCTTAGTTGTTCACTGAGAGACAGACTACAAATGGCCGGGTTGCTGCTTGTTTAAATGCTCCCAAGCATTGCTAATGCCTGGATTATCTCCTAGAGAAATGATTTAGTGAAAATAATGGCTTCACAATAGTCCCGCTGCAGCAGATATACGCACCAACCCAATAACCAGTCCTCTGAGAGAGAGCGTATTGATTGTAGCAATAATATTGCCCTATTCCCTCAGGAAAAAAAAATATAAATACAAGAATAATAAGCTTTTTTTTATCTATTCCAAAGCTGACTTGTGCTAAGCCCACCTGATGCTGAATCCGGAAAAGAATGGCAAACATGTAAACGTGGGTTTGGAAACCCTTTTTTCGTTTCCTGCGAGAAGTGCAGAGATCATCAGAAATATTGGCATAACTTCACCCGGCTCATTGTCTGTGGTCGGAGCCCCTCCACCCCCGCTCCATGTTTACGCCGAGACACTCTGCCTGCCTTAGGATCAGCTATGACATCATTTCGCCACAGCTGCGGGCCGCACACGAGGCGTGGAGAGGGAACAATTGACCAGGGGGGACGCAGGAAGAGCCGACTGACCTGATTGCTCAGCTGGCCGAGCAACTGGGAAGGAAGGCCCAAGGCGGAGCCGTGGATGTGGGGAGGGGTGATGGTGGTGGACAGTGCCCCCGTCACCCTCCCCTCCTCCTGGATGCAGCATTCGTGATCGCCCTGCCCTCTGCTGTTCTCCTGCCTGCCTGCTTGACTGAGCCAAAGCAGATTTGTACATGAAAAATGATCTACAATCTCTGTGGCTGTATCAGCTTCCAGATATAGACGTTCATGATAGGCTAAATCCCCTTTAAAGAGGGCTTTATCCCGCTCACTGAAAAGCCACGGAGAACAGCACATTCTTTTATCTCGGCACCTCAGTATGTTTTAAATACGCGCCACGTTTTGAGTTGCGACACCAATCTGTCCCGATCGGCTTGTGTTTGGTGCGCTTAGCGGGAAAGGTTATTGTTTAAATGTTAGCGCAATCTACATTGCATTGATCGGTCTTAATTATTAGACGCACAGCTGCTGCCTGAATACGAATCAGATGGACGTTTCATCTATGTATAGATAGACAGCTGGAAAGGGCACCATGCATATGACCTACCACATGTTCATTTCCATATAGAGAAAGAAGACAGCAGTGTACAATAACTTTGAAATCAAACACTTCTTTGAAGAATATAGAGCCTGTTATTTTATAATTGCTTTACATTTAATATTATTGCTTTTTATTATTGTTATCAGTAATAATATTATTAGTATTATGCATATTAATATTAACAGCATAACATTATTATTATTAATAGTAGTAGTAGTAGAGTGTGGTAATTTTAATAAAATGTTTTTATTATATATTATTTAATATATTTTAATACAAATAAACACAAAGTATTATTTTATTATTAGTAGTAGTACTATTATTATTATTATGTCAGTATTTTCATCATTTCTGTTTTAAGGTTAAATCTTTCCAAAAATGAAAACTTTGTTTTGGTCCCTCATGTCATTCTAAACCTGTATGTATTTTAAAGAGATATTTTGAAGTATGTTTAAGCTGTAACTTTTCCAAACAATGAAAGTCAGTGGGTTCCACAACACTGGACCCCATTTAATATATATAATCTAATATAATTTCATATAAAAATGCTTACAGGTTTAAAATGAAGTAAATGATGACTAGTTTCAGTTTTGGGTGAACTATTCCTTTTAAGACCCCCAGGGATATGTGTACCCATGGTTGTGGATTGCTGAACTAAGTAAGTTGTGTCCCAACCAATGTAAACCTACATTTTATTTGAGGACAGGGAACAAAAGCCTGAAAATAGATGACAAACCAGAGCGCATAAATCCGGCGAGGGGCAATCTGGTGCATTTGTGTGTGTATGTTTGCGTTTGGGTTAGAGATTGCGATAGCCCTTTCCTCCTTAAGAGATATGTTTTCAGTGCAAGGAGCCGATTCCCGTGAGGCGGGTGATCCTTTTTAATGACAGGGATTCATCTGTTAGCATCCCTCAGGCCCCACGCAGCTCCCAGCAGCCCACAGAAAATGGGCGGCAGCCTCAGGAGAGCGCACCTCCCCAGCCCCTCAAGATGCCGTGTGGGAGTTTAATTACTCCTGCGGCCACAAACCGCAGCTTACGCGCGCTCATTACTACAAATGCCTTAATTCTCTGCTGTTTTTAATCATTTTTAGGCAAAAATATCACACCGGAGATGCTCGTGCCAAAGTGAGAAATAGAACGAGAGCAGAAAGCAAGAGATTGCTCTTGTGAGGGGGTTGGGTTGGTTGTGTTTGAATAGGGGGTCGAAGTGAGGGTGCTAGCCTTCAGGGAGGAGAGGGGGCTTACTTAGAGACAGGACTCTGGATTACTAACTCGACAAAAAGGACTAAACATCTATTCAGTCGGGTCCTTCTGGTCTTTAGGGCCTATCCCTGCTGCTTTAATGAACTTATTTGGACTCCGTTTAGTTCATCCACCACTACTTAGAAGAATTAGGCTACGATTTATCTCTTCATATTTGCTCAAAGGCTTTAAAGTGTCACCACTTGAAGTAGCCGACGATTTAAAGAATAGTTTGTGTAAAACCTGATGATCCATGTTTTCCAGAATTATTTGAGATGTTCTAAAGAGCATCTTGCGCTTCAAGTGAACTGCAGATTTGCAGCTTCCATTGCTTAATAGTTATGTTCCAATTTGCTAATTTAATTAGAAAATTGCAGGTGTGATTTAGCGAATAAAGCAGCATTTTAATTTTAGGTAGATGTTTTATGCAGCTGCAGATGCCTTATGGGAGCATTAGCATGTTGGACCGTTCTTCTGCCAGGTAATAGTAGCGAATTATTCACTCACACAATTCTTGTTGAGGCAAAGTCATGTCTTTTTTTTTTATACATATCTGGAAATTTATGTGGTAAATGTGTTTCCATCAGTTTACATACAATTCATTTTATTTTTTTTATTGTTTATTATTATTATTATTTGTAATATTTGAAATTTGTATTTTGGAACTTTATTTTGCATTCTGGTGTTTCCATCCTCCATTTTAATGCGAACT